TGTTCAGTTCCAATCAAAACCTTTAATAACAACATCACACCGACTGTTCAAACAACACCTGAGCTGCAGCAAGAACACTGATGATGGATGGAAAAACATGATGAATGAACAGCTGTAAAGGTCGAAAAGACAATAAACTCACACGCCTATAAAACACAGAGTCAGCCGCTGACCGACTGAAACCCACCGCACAACATATAAAACAACAATCACACAGGTAATAATGAACAGAGTGTGAGATTTATGAGCAGAGGGATGTGCTCCATACGCGAGGGTTTCTGCTGTGAACATGTCAAATGTGTGATTCTGCACATGTTTGGTTCATCTTCCAATTATCGATCCTGCTCAGACCTTAAAGGAATAGTTCAGCAAAGATGAAAAACTGATGCAAATATGAATGAAAATGCACTCACCCTCAGGCCGTCCAAGATTAGGATGAGTTTGTTTCTTCATCAGATTTGGAGAAATGCAGCATTGCATCAATGTCTCAGCACTGGATGCTCTGCAGTGGATGGGTGCCGTCAGAATGAGAGTCCAAACAGCTGATAAAAACATCACAATAATCCACAGCACTCCAGTCCATCAGTTAACATCTGGAGAAGACAAAAGCTGAAACAAATCCAGCATTAAGACGTTTTTAACTAAAATACGAGTTCATAATCCATAATAACGCTTCTTCCAGTGAAAAAGTTAATCTCCTGTTGTCTCTGTTGGCTTGTAAAAAGTGCTTGATCTGTGCAGATTTCTCTCCTGATTCACACCAGAACACTTTTTCACTGGAGGAAGCGTTATTATGGATTATGGACTCTATGGTATTTTAGTTAAAAACGTCTTAATGCTGGATGTGTTTCAGCTTTTGTCTTCTCCAGATGTTAACTGATGGACTGGAGTGCTGTGGATTATTGTGATGTTTTTATCAGCTGTTTGGACTCTCATTCTGACGGCACCCATTCACTGCAGAGCATCCATTGCTGAGACACTGATGCAATGCTACATTTCTACAAACCTGATGAAGAAACAAACTCATCCTAATCTTGGATGGCCTGAGGGTGAGCACATTTTTGAGTGAACTATTGCTTTTATGCTGAAGAGATCCTGAATCATAATGTACAGTAAAGATGAAGATAATGAAGCAGTGCCACTGATTTGAGTGGGTCTGCGAGACAAATGAATGATGGGACACAGTTCATCCTTCATTAGAATACTTTCCCTATGATGCTAAAATCAGATTGATCTCAATTTGATCTCAATTTAGGTGAGAATATGAGTATTGTAGCCAAATCTGAACACATGTAAGGAGCTTTGAAAATGGTGAGAGACCAAAGCAGCGTGTGAAAGCAGATCTTCAAAGCATCAGCGCTCGTGTACAGACGCACTGATCAGAGAAATATCAGGAAGAAATCAAACATTTATTATTGTAAAATGACTCCGCATACAGTTCACGGCAACACATGCGGCTGAGAACAAAGCTCATTAGAATACTTTCCCTATGATGCTAAAATCAGATTGATCTCAATTTGATCTCAATTTAGGTGAGAATATGAGTATTGTAGCCAAATCTGAACACATGTAAGGAGCTTTGAAAATGGTGAGAGACCAAAGCAGCGTGTGAAAGCAGATCTTCAAAGCATCAGCGCTCGTGTACAGACGCACTGAGAGAAATATCAGGAAGAAATCAAACATTTATTATTGTAAAATGACTCCGCATACAGTTCACGGCAACACATGCTGCTGAGAACAAAGAGGAGGCTAAATAAATCAAACACGTGAAGCGGCAGGACAGATCTGCGGGAGCTTCCTAAATATGTTTTGATAATTGTGTTTCCCACTAAGTTTCTGTGCCTGATTCGATTTGCACTACAAGAAGTGGACATTTCATTTATCAACCAAATGCTGCAATATGTGTTTCAGAAGCACTGATTTTAACAGCCTGATAACTCAGAAATGCTGAGAGTGCAATACTATAAGAAACACACAATACAGTGCATTAGTACGCAAAACAAAACAATGCAACAACAAATGTTTCAAGCTGTAGCATGCCAAATTGATTCAATGTTATCTTGCATTTTAATCAAAATCGAAAAATGTTATTTTTTTGGCCTGCATCCTGAAAAAAACAAACAAACCTAATATTACACATTTTGATGATGCTGAGTTTCACAAAATTTTTATGTATATTTATCCAACTTTAATGCACTTATCAAAACAACAAAATGAAGTATCAAAGGGTTTGTTTTAATGACAAACTAGTTTTCAAAATGTATCAATTAACTTAACGATTTGCAAAAAAGTGGAAAAACACAACCTCGCAAAATAAGCTTTTTCCACAATATCTGTGATTTTCTGTTTGGATGCAGTGAAAGCAGAAATCATGCGTTTTCTTTAAAAACACAAATGGTTGCCTTTTCTTCAGTGTCTGGCCATGATTCAGAATTAGACATCAAATAATGTCATGCATGTGAAAACGGGCTGAGAACTGATCAAATACTTGTAATCTAGCTCAGATTCAGACAGGAATCGTGTGTTTTATTATTATATTCTAATGTGTTTGGCTTCCTAAAACACCAGTGTGAATGTAATTTAGACTGAGACAGTACACCACAAATTAAAAGAGGGTTGAGTCCTCTTTAAAGTTCAGCTACAAGTCAATTCACTGGCTTTATTCTGACTTCAGTTTTAGTTAAGAACATGGGTTTCAGCTCTTAATTTTGAACTCTCAAAGTGCACTAGATAGAATAATTTAACTTTCAAATGTGCAAAATTTAAATTTTTTCCAATTCTTAATTTGCCTTTTTTTTTTTTAAATATCGCATGGACTACATATCGCGATATCGTTACATCCCTAATGAACTCTAAACTTTAGTTCTTATTTTCTATTGGATTCAAGTGATTGGCTGAGCCATTCTAGCAGCTTTACCTTCTTTCTCTGAAACCAATCGAGAGTTTGCTTGGCTGTGTTTGGGATCATTGTCCAGCCTTGTTTTATCTTCATCATCCTGGTACTGTAGGTGTTGAGACTGAAGCAGCTAATATTAATTCCCATTGACGAAGAGCAGGATTGCTTTCTAATTACTGATAGATTTCAGCTGGAGTCTTGGCTTTCCGTGCCTTTTTGCACCTCCCTTTCTTCATGTGTTCAATACTTTTCCCCCTGTGTCATTCCACTTTATTACACAGAACTTTATGCAAACTGTTATCTTTGCATGTATGGAGTTGTTATCGACATCTGGTGAAAATGTCATGTCAACAGCACCTTTAGAACTATATTTACTGAGAAAAATGCTGACGTATTTTACCCGCTGTATATCAATGAAAATGAAATCCCACTTTTACCGGACATGTTGAGGGAGGCCATCTTGGCCGGTGGGACGCAGGAGAAGAAGTTCTCCGTACCAGAGTAAATAAAAGCACTGCAGGACATCAGCATCTGCTCGAGATCTGCGAGACTGAGAGAAGAGTGTCACTTTTACACATTAATACCCGAGACAAAAACCAGCTCCTATAAATATCTGTTTCACAGGAGTGTGAGGAGATTTTGAGAGAGATTCAGACCTGCGTTTGCTCTCGTGGCCGATGAATCCTTCCCACAGAGGTGTAAATTGCGAAGCGTAGGTGTCGAGGGTCTTCCTCATGATCTCTGCTGCGCTGCTGCGATCTGAACAAACCAGGCCAGATGAAAGGGTTAAATATAACTGCGTCATCATTTACTCGCCCTCGTGTCAAATCAGACCACTTTGAGATTTTGTGAATAATTTTTGTGAAGAAATTACTCTCTTCCATACAATAAAATCAAAACAGTGATGGACACACCATGTCTGAATATGCATAAATGAGTTAAGACAGAGCTCTTGCATAAACATTATCTTTATGTAAAAATCTCAAATTATGTCTTTTCTCAAAAACGTCTCAAATTAGAACAATTTAAGGTTTTTGCAACTGATTAAAAAGGTCTTACAGAACAAAAGCAGCTTATGCAACAAGCCACTGAAGAAGAGCAGAATAGTCTGGGGTTGGTAAGTTTTTTAATGTTTCTGTTCACCGAGGCTGCATTTCTTTGATCAAAAATACAGTAAAAATTGTGAAATATTATTCTAATGTAAAACAGCTGTTTTCTATGTGAATCTCTGTTAAACTGTAATGTATTTCTGTGATGCGCAGCTGTATTTTCAGCGTCAGTACTGCAGTCTTCAGTGTCACATGATCTTCAGAAATCAGTATAATATGCTGATCTGCTGCTCAAGAAACATTTCTGATTATTATCAATGTTGAAAACAGTTGTGCTGCACAATATTTTTTGTGTAAACCGTGACACGTTTTAATTTTCAGGATTCACAGATGAATAGAAAGTTCAAAAGAACAGCGTTTATTTGACTTAGAGATTTTTTGTAACTTTATAAATGTCTTTACTGGCACCTTTGATCAATTTAACACATCCTATCGTGAATAATTCATCAGTGCATCATTTGTCTTCATAATGCTTTTTTTACTCAAAAACTAATTCCACTCACCAGCCTGCTTTCCATCATCTTCCTCCTGAGCATCAACTACATCTTAAAGCCTGTGTTAAGAATACATTTCTCCAAACTATTAACCATGTTCAGTCACTTTGCAAGCAGCTAACGCAATAAAAGCGAGCCGAAATGCAATGCAGCAGTCGAATGATTGCTCTGACATCTCACACACATCACAGACGCCCGTGAGATGGACAACGAAGGTGGTTTAAAGCGAAGGATACATCTGAACCTGTGTGTGTCCACTGGGATGCTGTTTGGCGGCAGGACACGATTGACCGGCACCTGCAGAAGAAAGTGCATCCTTAAAGGTCACTGTATGCAAACTGAAGATGAACTGTACAAAATCACACTAAAAAAATACAAGTGCAGTCATTTGCATTTGGCATTTTAGTGCTGAGGTCTGGAGAACTGGGGCATAATTATTCAAAGAAAAAGATAAATGTTAAAAGTTAAAGTTAACATTCCCATTAAATATTCAAATCCTTTTCACAGACGTCCAGACGCACCTATAATGATCAACATCAGAGTCATAGAAAGTGTGAGTAAACATCATTACTGTGACTCCTTTAGACATGATGCTGATCTTTCATAAATTGCTTGTGAGCACATGGTTCAAACAGGTTTGTCATTGAGTATTTCATGCTAGTAATATTTAAGGCTGTTATTATTCACTGCACTGATCTTCAACTTCAACCCCAAAACGTCCTGAGTCACGGCATAAAACATGCTTTGAAAGAGAAATGTTACTGGATATTGATATTTCATTTTAATTACAATGTGTGTTGGCACAAAAACACTTGCTGTTAAAGACATAATAAATATCTGTCTGACTTTTCCTTTTGTTGACATGGTTAGATTCAGATGGTTCATATCATTGGGTTTCCAGCTTAGAGATAATCAGCATATTTACAATGAAACCATCTTATTTAAAAATATGATGTATTTGTTACTACTGTAAAGCCACATTCAATTATGGGATCTCCATCAAAGATTTCAGAATGTTTACTTTTTACATTTTAGTAAATTATATAAAGGGGGTCTGAATACTTTCCGTACCCACTGTATATATACATACACCGACACACACACACACACACATATATATATATATAATTTTATTAAAGTTTTTAAACATTTTACTAAAGTATTAATTTAGATATCATGCAAAACATTACTTTTATTATTTTATTTATATGATTTATAAAGGAATAATAAACCACTTTTCTGATTTATTTTTCCAATACAATGTGTTGCTTGATCAATGTAAACAAAAATAAATAAATAATTGCAATCATAGACATAGACAATAGACACTCATAGAACAGTTCTTTTTTTATTTTCCATTAAATTTTTTTTTAAATGCACACATTAGTTTAATTCATTTTTGAGTTTTAGTTGTAAATGTTTTTGATGGTTTGAAGTTTTAGTTAATTATATGTGCTGTCATAAAAATTCTAAGAACTTTATAATATTTGTTATAAATATAAATAAAATCACTAGAACATAAATAAATAACAAATACAAACGGCACTGCTTCCAGTGAAGGAGCAGCGTATGTACATATAATGTTCCTGTGGCTCAGTGGTAGAGCATTGCGTTAGCAGTGCAAAAGGTCATGGGTTCGATTCCCAGGGAACACACATACTGGTAAAAAATGTATAGCCTGAATGCACTGTAAATCGCTTTGTATAAAAGCGTCTGTTAAATGTATAAATATATAGTGAATAAAGGATATTTCTGTTTCAGTAGCGACGGACATTCACGGCACTGTACAGGTAACAGTAAGAAATAAATGCAAGTTATTGCAAGTCCCAGACAATGCTCTGGTGTGAAATCACCTCGCCTAAAGGCACAGCGGTGGAACTACTGCCACTAGGGATTGAATCCACGACCTTCTGTGTCTCGGCCCATTTCTCAATTCTTGAGGCTCCTGCTGCCCCATTTATGAGGACCTACTTGTAGAGCGTGGCCTAATTATTCTGTGAGTGTGGCTATTTTCTGCCTGATTTCTGTCTCGGACATTGTATATATGATAACCTCGTGATGATCGGCAAATCTGAGATGTTCTGAGTGTGTTGTTTGCCTGTCGGACGGTAAAGCAGATGATAAACCTGCCCCGTGAGGCCCATCAGTCATATTGAGCTGAAGATTCAGTCCAGAACTGCCCTCAATATCACTCTTACTGTGATATCACTCTTAAATCCCAAGAACTGATTAGTCTAGCCTGTTTTTAGTTAATGGACAGAACATTGAAGGGCACCTCCAATTCAACATATCACAATAAGCATTGTAAATGACATTTAAATTATTTTGTAAAATAATTACAAATTAATAATAAATCAAAACTATTGTATGTTCAAAAATATTAACTAACTAAATATAGCTTACACACAAATATTTAAGGTGAACAAAGAAACAGATTACAATTAAAAAAACAAAAAGGCAATGAGAGCTTTTTCTCTTTACTTTCTGCATTATTTATATACTTAGTTGATGGTTTTGTGTGTTTATGTGTTTTTTGTGTGTTTGTGTGCACACAGTTTAACCACGCATATGTGAAGAAAAAAAAAATAGATGTTTTCTCTCACATCTAATAATTAACTAGTCATTTATCTTTATCCAAAGTGACTTACAGACACATTCTCTGCTGGAGGAACTTGAGGTTTTGCATGATTGTGATTCATGCATCAGACTATAGAGGTAGGGATGCACCGAATGTTTGGCAACCGGAATTATTCAGTTAATAAATTGTACCGAATAATGCTGTGACGTGATCAAATAGAGGCGTGCACTAATGCAGCAAACATGTCACAGTGTGGAAGCATTTAAAACTGTCTGAGAAAGACGTAAAATCATTACAGCAGCGACAGCGAGAGACTGTTTAGCTCTGCATCACACGTCTCGATGAGAAGAGGAAGGGTGGTTGTTTCTGGTTACTGTATGATGAGTGAAATCGCCAAATAGCCTTAAACTAATAATTAAATACATTTTTACAAGGCATGGATGTGACAATGTGATACATGCCACAAACATCTTCCCAAATTCGTAATGAGAATCATTTATAAATCTGCTGTTGTCAACAAAAAGAAGCACTGAGGTCTTTCTGCGGGTTTCTGCCAAAATAAAAGCTCCATCAACATTCATAAATGTTAGTTTTGTAATTTTACTGTTGTTCTGTAAAATAAAATAAAAAAAGACAATAATAATTACAACAGCTATATTAATAAATTTTTTTTTAAATATATATATTTTTAAATATATATTTTTAAATGAATGTTTTAAAATTATTATCTTCTGCTCAGCAAGGCTGCATTTATTTGTACAGTAAAAAAATACATGCCAGATTCAAGAAGGGGGTCTCATAAATTACCCATAAAATTAAAGTTAAATAATATATAATGTTGGCATAATTTTGTTTTTCATTTCGGTGCATCCCTATAAACAGGGTTTGGAACAGCTTTCAGGCAGCATCTTTAAGCTCCATCAATGCATCAGAAGATAGAGATAGATGGTGTTCAGTGTGAACTCACCTGCTTCATCCGTCTGCAGTCGTGCGTGAAGAACCTGCAGAGAGAAATCTCGAGAGACGGAGATGATGCCCTTCGCCTGCAGGACGCTCAACGCTTCTAACGGAAACTCCAACAGCGTCCGGTCAGCGAGAATCACCACAGAATCACCAGCATCTGCAGAATACACACACACACACACACACACTCACACACATACACACACACACAAATGCGCACAAACGCACACACACACACACACACACACTCACACACACAAATGCGCACAAACGCACACACACATCCAGCACGTTTACATTTCAAATCAAAGCCTATAAATGATGCAGTAAATTGATAAAAGATGAACTGCGAGTGGTTAAGTTTTTCCATGTTTCCACGTTACAGCGCGGCTGTAAATCTGATCAATATTTGATAATATTTTATCAATATTTCATAAATTAGAATGTGTCCGGTTTAAATTTATTTAAAAAAAAATTCTGAGCAAAACTAACAACTATCGTACATTTTTACCATGATTTACAGAAGAAAATGTTATTTAGTATAACAATAGTTCATATACCAAAAAAATCTTGCCAGGCATATTTAGATCAAGAATCATTAGATGACATGAAATGACTCTAAAAAGACTCTATCACAGATCCGCCATAAAATACTAATTAATTATCATATCACTGTCATACCAATACATCGGTGTTCAAGAGTTTGAAGTTTAAGTAAGATAAAAGTAAGATTTTTTAAAATGTTTTTGAAAGAAGTCTCTTATGCTTACCAAAAAAAAAAAATAATAATAAATAATAATAATAGTAATAATAATAATAAATTAAATAATAATAAAAATCGTAAAAATAGTGAAATATTATTATAATTCAAAATATCTGTTTTCTCTGTGAATCTCTGTTAAACTGTACTGTATTTCTGTGATGCGCAGCTGTATTTCCAGCATCATTCCTCCAGTCTTCAGTGTCACATGATCTTCAGAAATCAGTATAATATGCTGATCTGCTGCTCAAGAAACATTTCTGATTATTATCAATGTTTTCTATGGTCAGAGTGTGTTGGTGTTTTGTACCCGGCAGAGGTTTATCAGCAGTTTTCTCATCCTTGTCTTTGACTCGGGCCGATGTGGTGGAGATGGACGGAGAGCGAACGCTGTGATAAAACAGAAGAGGAAATGAGAGAGAACATGAGTGCAGACGAGAGACTGGTGCAAAAAACTGGTGCAAACAGAAGCCACATTTATAGATGCATTAACTTGTTAATTTTGTGCATGTGTGTTTTGGTACCTAAAGCATGAAAAGTCAAACTGAGAGAGAACGGGATTGAGGTAGTTCTCCATTTCCTCAAGCAGAGCTCTGAAACAATCATCCAGCTGTCCATCTTTATCTTCCTTTATAAAGAGAGTGAAAGAGGCCTCTGTGATATTGATGCTTTTCAGATTGTACTTCCTCTTCAAACATTTGTAGGTGCCAGCGTGTCTTACTTGTGCTCGGTTCTGTCCGCAGTGGCGTGACTCTTTCAGACGCGTCTGTGCGGTCAGATCTTTGAACTCTTGCAGAAGTTTGCGGAGCTGCTGCAGATCTGAGCGATGAACGGACGCCTTGAGCACCTTAGAGCAGATCAGACCACCTACAGAAACACACGCGTCACCAAACCCGTCCAAAACACGAGCACAGAATGCATGCACTGACTAAAATAATAGGTGCACAACCAAAATACAGTTTTGTTCTCAAGTTAGGGTCAGTGAGACTTTTGGAAGAAATTAATACTTTTATTCATCAGGGATGCATTAAAGTGATCAAAGGTGAAAGTAAAGACATTTATAATGTTACAAAATATTTATATTTCAAATAAATGCTGTTCTTTTGAACTTTCAATTCATCTGTGAATCCTGAAAAAAAAAATCCACAAAAATATTGCGCAACTGGAAAAGATTGTTGCTGCTCAGGTACATTGCTCATATTTCAGTGAATAATTTATATGAATAATTCCAATCAGGTTTTCGTTCATGTCATAGTACTGAGCCTGCCCTTGTCAAAATGTCTAACGATTTATTGGTAGCGGCTGACTCAGGACTTTTATTGATTTTAATTCTTCTTGATTTAACTTCAGCGTTCGACACTATTTCCCATAAAATTCTATTAGATAGATTGCAGTCCATTGGAATCGTAGGCACTTCTCTGGCTTGGTTTACATCTTATCTCTTACATCTTAACTAGGTCAGTTCAAATCTAAGTCATCACATATTACTACAGGTGTCCCACAGGGTTCAGTTCTGGGCCCTTTATTATTTATCATTTATCTACTGCCCCTTGGAAACATTTTCAGAGAATATGGTATACAGTTTAATTGTTACAGCGATGACACCCAGCTCTATCTGTCCTCAAAACCTTCTTCTACACTTCCTCCATCTTCTCTTTCTAAATGTTTGTCTGAAGTTAAGGCTTGGTTTTCACGCAATTTTCTTAAACTTAACAGTAGTAAAACAGAAATATTTCTTGTTGGTACAAAAAAATAATTTGTTGAATACCAGCGATTTTTCTATGTGTATCGATGGTTCTATAATCACTTCCTCAACACAGGTGAAGAGCTTGGGTGTTATCCTGGATAATACGTAACTAGGTCAGTTCAAATCTAAGTCATCACATATTACTACAGGTGTCCCACACGGTTCAGTTCTGGGCCCTTTATTATTTATCATTTATCTACTGCCCCTTGGAAACATTTTCAGAGAATATGGTATACAGTTTAATTGTTACGGCGATGACACCCAGCTCTATCTGTCCTCAAAACCTTCTTCTACACTTCCTCCATCTTCTCTTTCTAAATGTTTGTCTGAAGTTAAGGCTTGGTTTTCATGCAATTTTCTTAAACTTAACAGTAGTAAAACAGAAATATTTCTTGTTGATACAAAAAAATAATTTGTTGAATACCAGCGATTTTTCTATGTGTATCGATGGTTCTATAATCACTTCCTCAACACAGGTGAAGAGCTTGGGTGTTATCCTGGATAATACACTATCTTTTGAAGCACATAAGGTTACTCGGACGGCTTATTATCATTTATCAATATCAATATTAATCGCCTCCGCCCAGCCCTCTCAATGAGGAGCACTGCTACTATGGGCTATGCTCTTGTCACTTCACGAATTGACTATTGTAATGCTCTTTTTATAGTCTTCCTGTTAAACTTTTACACAAGTTACAGCTAGTGCAGAACTCAGCAGCACGAATAATTACTAGAACTCCTACTATGGAACACATATCTCCTGTTCTTCAACAACTGCAGTGGCTTCCTGTTAAACAGCATGCTGAATTCAAAAGTTTGCTTATTGTTTGTAAGGCATTACATAAACTGGCTCTTTCTTACTTATTTGACCTATTTTTAACATATACTCCGTCTCGAGCATTTAGATCATCATCTACGTTATCTTTAGGTCTTCCTCGTACACATCTGGTTTCCATGGGCTCTCGAACTTTTAGCTATGCTGCTCCTTATCTGTGGAATTTACTTTACTTTACTTCCGAAACAGTGACTCTCTTCCCATTTTCAAATCTCGTTTAAAGACGCAGCTTTTTAGGTAGGCATACCGCTGATTATTTTATGTTATTCCTAATGACTTTGAAGTGGGTTGGTTACCTGTCACACTCTTTCCTTTCTGAGTCTCTGCGGATAGTCTTCCTGTTAAACTTTTACACAAGTTACAGCTAGTGCAGAACTCAGCAGCACGAATAATTACTAGAACTCCTACTATGGAACACATATCTCCTGTTCTTCAACAACTGCAGTGGCTTCCTGTTAAACAGCATGCTGAATTCAAAAGTTTGCTTATTGTTTGTAAGGCATTACATAAACTGGCTCTTTCTTACTTATTTGACCTATTTTTAACATATACTCCGTCTCGAGCATTTAGATCATCATCTACGTTATCTTTAGGTCTTCCTCGTACACATCTGGTTTCCATGGGCTCTCGAACTTTTAGCTATGCTGCTCCTTATCTGTGTAATTTACTTTACTTTACTTCCGAAACAGTGACTCTCTTCCCATTTTCAAATCTCGTTTAAAGACGCAGCTTTTTAGGTAGGCATACCGCTGATTATTTTGTTATTCCTAATGACTTTGAAGTGGGTTTGAATTTTATTGTTGCTTGTAACTGTAACTGCATGTAAGGTACCTTAAAACATCAGATTTGTTTTGTAGAGCTCATTAAATGTTTTTGGGTGCAACATTGCAGATACCGGACTTTTATTTGCAACTTTCTGGGTCATAATTCTAGGTCAAATAATTGTCATGAAAACAGACAACAACCGTGGTTCAGTCATGAAAACAGAAAGCCAAAAATCTAATGTTCCAAAAAAAAAAGGCTTCATTTTATTTATGCAAATTATCATTTATTTACCTTATTATTATTATTATTAGAAATGTGACCTAAACCTTTTTTTTTTTTTTTTTTTAATGAGATTCACTCAAAAACTAAATCTGTGTCTGCAAATAAAGGAAAAAATTTGGAAAACATTATTAAATGGAGATTAAATATAAACGTGAGTTGTATGGTTACCTGTCACACTCTTTCCTTTCTGAGTCTCTGCGGCTTTAACCTTCTCATAAAGGCCGGCGTAAAGCACAGAACTACACAATGACAGAACAGACATGAGTTACACACAACTGCCGCTCCTCTGTGTGTGTATGTGTGTCAATGACTGATCACAGGTCTGACCACATGACCTCACACACACACACACACACACACACACACACACACACACACATCCACCCCTAGTGAATGACACAGGAACAGAAGGATACATACTTTCTTCTGCTTTGAAAATAAAATAAACAGCCCACTAAACTGCCACTAGAAAAGAATAGAGCGGAACAGAGCAGCATAATAGATGCAATAGAATAGAACAGAGCAGAGTAGAACAGAGCAAATAAAATACAACAGAACAGAGCAGATGAGAATAACTTAATTTTCTGTAAAGCTGCTTAGCAACGATTTGTAAAGCGCTATACGAATAAACTTGAATTGAATAGCTTAAAGCAGAATAGAATAGAACGTGGAGCATGGCGCTAGTAACAGCAAGGTCATGGGTTCGATTCCCAGGGAATGCATGAACTTGAATGCAGCGCAAGTCACTTTGGATAAAAGCATCTGCCAAATGCATGAATGTATATTTCTATAATAGAGTTGAGTCCACCCCACCTGTCCTCTGAGTGTTGGAGCAGCAGGATCTTGAAGTCGGGTGGCATTTCTCCCAGAATTCTCAGGTGGTTTGGGTTTATGGTCAGGTGAGTGAAGGCCTGAAAGTGTGATCAGACACATGAGGCGTGGATCTGCTCTGTCTAGAGACGCTGCTCTCGATAAAGCAGAACCCTCACAAAACCATTCTGTCTAAACGCAAACCACTCTCCTCACTTCATCTCGGTTCTCGTCTGAACGTTTCTCAGGAAGAATCACTTGTGACTGCGTTTCTTCACTTGTAAGTCACTTTGGATAAAAGCTAAAAGAATAAATGTAAATGAATATGTGCAGTCTGAAGGACTATAAACGAGCGACACACTGTTGTGTTTACATTACGTTGATGAAGTGTATAAGGAGGTTCTAGATTAACATGAAGAATGTATTAAACTCGTATCAGCTATGTACGTAACATGAGTGCCAACTCCTCAGCAGCAAGAACACAACCCAACCTTCTTTGGCTGATTTGCATAAACTGTACTGACAAGCACTATAACCAATAGGAACAAAGAATATGTTTTCTCTGACATGTGATTGGTTTATAGCCAAACGTAAGAATACTACACACACGACTAGACCTTTAAGCATGAGGAATTATTCAGTTTTGTATAAATAATAATAAATTAAAACTTTTATTAATGCAAAACCACTAAAAATGAGAGTTGCTTCCATGTTTAATTCTGAGTCATTCTGTGATGTTTAGCTCACTCATGGTTTTGCTTTATGAAAACACAGGTTTGGTAAAAAATTATCATAATTTTTACAGTCAAAGTAGTTTAAAAACGTGTTAATTGGTTAAAGGCAAGTTCCATTACTCTATACGGTGAAAATCTTTTTGTAATTGACTTAAGTTGCTTTGGATAAAAGTGTCTACTAAATGCATAAACGTAAATGTTAAAAACTAATAGATCTAAGGTGACATTTCATGTAATTTTACAGTGTTTGGAAGTGAAAAAGAACTAGTCATCTTATAATTTACAGTGAAAAACATTAATTTACATTTCCAGATCTGTCAGTTCACACTGGATGGTTATGTACATTAGAATTTTATGTAATATGTGATGTTATATTATATTAAATTAATGTTTATTGCATGCCGTGTGTGTTATCATGATGGTGTTTCATTTTTTTGTATTTATCTCAACTTACATAAACACTATATTATATTATATTTTCTTTTTATTCTTAACTCTTTTAATACATTTTAAATCAAATTTTAATCTTTTTTATTCTTTGCATTTGTTACTTTTATTTTTTGATTATTTTAAATTGTTTCCACATGACCTCACACACACACACACACACACACACACACACACACACACACATCCACCCCTAGTGAATGACACAGGAACAGAAGGATACATACTTTCTTCTGCTTTGAAAATAAAATAAACAGCCCACTAAACTGCCACTAGAAAAGAATAGAGCGGAACAGAGCAGCATAATAGATGCAATAGAATAGAACAGAGCAGAGTAGAACAGAGCAAATAAAATACAACAGAACAGAGCAGATAAAAATAAAGTAGCAAAGAATAGACTAGACTAGAATAAAATAGAACAGAATAGAAAATAGAACATATCAGAGCAGAATAGCGCAGAGCAAATGAAATACAACTGAACAGAGCAGATGAGAATGAATAGAATAGAAAATAGAAAAATGGAACAGAGAAAATACAATTCTACAGAGCAGATGGGAATAAATTAGAATAGAAGAGAACAGAATAGAACAGAATAGAAAAGAGTTTAGAGCAGAGCAAACAAAATACAATAAAACAGAACAGAGAAGATGAGAATAAAGTACACCAGAACAGAAAAAGCTGAACAGAATACAAAAGAATAGAATAGAATTAAAAAAAGAGTAAACTGGAATAGAGTAGAACAGAGTAAATAAAATGCAATACAACAGAACAGTTAAGATGAGAATAAATGAGAAGAGAAAGACTGATTAGAACAGAATAGAATAGAATAAAAAGAGAAAACAGACACACACACACACACACACACACACACATCCACCCCTAGTGAATGGCACAGGAACAGAAGGAGACATACTTTCTTCTGCTTTGAAAATAAAATAAACAGCCCACTAAACTGCCACTAGAAAAGAATAGAGCGGAACAGAGCAGCATAATAGATGCAATAGAATAGAACAGAACAGAACAGAGCAGAGTAGAACAGAGCAAATAAAATACAACAGAACAGAGCAGATGAGAATAACTTAATTTTCTGTAAAGCTGCTTAGCAACGATTTGTAAAGCGCTATACGAATAAACTTGAATTGAATAGCTTAAAGCAGAATAGAATAGAACGTGGAGCATGGCGCTAGTAACAGCAAGGTCATGGGTTCGATTCCCAGGGAATGCATGAACTTGAATGCAGCGCAAGTCACTTTGGATAAAAGCATCTAACAGAGCAGATGAGAATGAATAGAATAGAAAATAGAAAAATGGAACAGAGAAAATACAATTCTACAGAGCAGATGGGAATAAATTAGAATAGAAGAGAACAGAATAGAACAGAATAGAAAAGAGTTTAGAGCAGAGCAAACAAAATACAATAAAACAGAACAGAGAAGATGAGAATAAAGTACACCAGAACAGAAAAAGCTGAACAGAATACAAAAGAATAGAATAGAATTAAAAAAAGAGTAAACTGGAATAGAGTAGAACAGAGTAAATAAAATGCAATACAACAGAACAGTTAAGATGAGAATAAATGAGAAGAGAAAGACTGATTAGAACAGAATAGAATAGATAGAATAGAACAGAACAGAACAGAGCAGAGTAGAACAGAGCAAATAAAATACAACAGAACAGAGCAGATGAGAATAACGTAATTTTCTGTAAAGCTGCTTTGCAACGATTTGTAAAGCGCTATACGAATAAACTTGAATTGAATAGCTTAAAGCAGAATAGAATAGAACGTGGAGCATGGCGCTAGTAACAGCAAGGTCATGGGTTCGATTCCCAGGGAATGCATGAACTTGAATGCAGCGTAAGTCACTTTGGATAAAAGCATCTGCCAAATGCATGAATGTATATTTCTATAATAGAGTTGAGTCCACCCCACCTGTCCTCTGAGTGTTGGAGCAGCAGGATCTTGAAGTCGGGTGGCATTTCTCCCAGAATTCTCAGGTGGTTTGGGTTTATGGTCAGGTGAGTGAAGGCCTGAAAGTGTGATCAGACACATGAGGCGTGGATCTGCTCTGTCTAGAGACGCTGCTCTCGATAAAGCAGAACCCTCACAAAACCATTCTGTCTAAACGCAAACCACTCTCCTCACTTCATCTCTGTTCTCGTCTGAACGTTTCTCAGGAAGAATCACTTGTGACTGCGTTTCTTCACTTGTAAGTCACTTTGGATAAAAGCTAAAAGAATAAATGTAAATGAATATGTGCAGTCTGAAGGACTATAAACGAGCGACACACTGTTGTGTTTACATTACGTTGATGAAGTGTATAAGGAGGTTCTAGATTAACATGAAGAATGTATTAAACTCGTATCAGCTATGTACGTAACATGAGTGCCAACTCCTCAGCAGCAAGAACACAACCCAACCTTCTTTGGCTGATTTGCATAAACTGTACTGACAAGCACTATAACCAATAGGAACAAAGAATATGTTTTCTCTGACATGTGATTGGTTTATAGCCAAACGTAAGAATACTACACACACGACTAGACCTTTAAGCATGAGGAATTATTCAGTTTTGTATAAATAATAATAAATTAAAACTTTTATTAATGCAAAACCACTAAAAATGAGAGTTGCTTCCATGTTTAATTCTGAGTCATTCTGTGATGTTTAGCTCACTCATGGTTTTGCTTTATGAAAACACAGGTTTGGTAAAAAATTATCATAATTTTTACAGTCAAAGTAGTTTAAAAACGTGTTAATTGGTTAAAGGCAAGTTCCATTACTCTATACGGTGAAAATCTTTTTGTAATTGACTTAAGTTGCTTTGGATAAAAGTGTCTACTAAATGCATAAACGTAAATGCTAAAAACTAATAGATCTAAGGTGACATTTCATGTAATTTTACAGTGTTTGGAAGTGAAAAAGAACTAGTCATCTTATAATTTACAGTGAAAAACATTAATTTACATTTCCAGATCTGTCAGTTCACACTGGATGGTTATGTACATTAGAATTTTATGTAATATGTGATGTTATATTATATTAAATTAATGTTTATTGCATGCCGTGTGTGTTATCATGATGGTGTTTCATTTTTTTGTATTTGTATGAAATCATGCATCTTTTATATATTAGTATTTATCTCAACTTACATAAACACTATATTATATTATATTTTCTTTTTATTCTTAACTCTTTTAATACATTTTAAATCAAATTTTAATCTTTTTTATTCTTTGCATTTGTTACTTTTATTTTTTGATTATTTTAAATTGTTTTTGTAAAGCACTTTGAGTTGTGTATGAAATGTGCTACATAAATAATCTAGCTTGCATGCATGCTATATTATATTATATTCTGCAAGTTTAAGTTCAATCTGTAAACTTAAAATGTTTCCACTCTATTTTTTATGGTAGACTCCTGGAAACCACAAACTTCAACTTTAGTACCCAGCAAAAGGCAAAAATCACATGCATATGTACATTCATATGCACAAAACGAGGTGCATAACATGCTCACGGACCTGTTCTCACACATTTGAATGGAAAGTGCAGTGTCTGAACGCTCTGAGGAGGTGTGTGTCATTAACAGGCTGTCAGCGCAGTACCTTGGAGAGAGCGTTGAGCTCTCGGTTCACTGCTGTCAGAGCGCCGCTGGGTCTGTGACCCTGTGAAGAGAGCAGCTTCCTCCGCAGGTTCAGCAGAGCACAGGTCTGAGACTCACCGACACTGGAGCAGATCGAGTGCAGGACAGACGACATCTCAGCACAGCACACGCCGCTCTGAGATCAGATCACACCAGTCTAGTGAGTAATAATCATCCGCTCAAACATCCACCAGAACTCTACATTCTCACAAACATATGAACATCACACACATATGTGACCCTGGACCACAAAACCAGACATAAGGGTCAATTTTTTGAAATTGAGATTTATACATAATTTATACATCACATAAATAAGTCATTTGACCCATACAATGTATTGTTGGCTATTGCTATAAATATACCTGAGCTACTTATGACTGGTTTTGTGCTCCAGGGTCACATACATATAACTACAGGCAAAATAATTGAAAATGTCAGTTTTGGTCGAATTTGAGGTTTTCACAATCCAAATACTTCTTAAACATCTACAATGATCTTTAGTTGTACGTTTTCTAGGAGTTTTCTGGATGACTGCTGCTGCTTCTCAAGTTGTAGGTCTACTGTTGCAATGCGCAGCATTCAAGCTTTGTGAATATTCATATCGAATTCTCGATGACATGAGTCCAAAACAGTGGAATATGATTTTCAAACTCATGCTGAGGAAAACAAAATGATCACACTGACTGATATTTGCAATGCGCGTGCATAAGATGCATCTGTCCGCGGCAATCCCAATGCTCCAAATACTTCTTAAACATCTTCAATGATCTTTAGTTGTACGTTTTCTAGGAGTTTTCTGGATGACTGCTGCTGCTTCTCAAGTTGTAGGTCTACTGTTGCAATGCGCAGCATTCAAGCTTTGTGAATATTCATATCGAATTCTCGATGACACGAGTCCAAAACAGTGGAATATGATTTTCAAACTCATGCTGAGGAAAACAAAATGATCACACTGACTGATATTTGCAATGCGCGTGCATAAGATGCATCTGTCCGCAAGCGAGCCATTGTAGAAGGCTAAAATAAGTGCCATGTCTGCAGCCATATCATGAAGGCACTGTGTGTTTCGTTGTGAAAGCGAAACTACTTTGTTTGGTCTTCCAAAAATGGACACGACTAGAAATCAGTGGTTAAGTTGTATTTACAACACTGTTCCAGAACACTTCAACCCAAATATTCAGATGTGTGCAGCACATTTTATGGAGGACTGTGTCCTGATCCTGGGAGAGTAGACTGCAATGCCGGCTGTTCTGACTCACAGACTGTAAGTACGTTTTTTATATATAAAGAATTTGCCACTGACGATTTAAACGTGAGTTTTCAGCAGTGTAAAGTAGCACTTGCTGTTTGTCATTAACATTTCCGTCACACGCTTGAGGTATTCGGCCAATCACAACGGACTGGATAGCTGGTCAATCAAAAAAATCGACGCGTTTCAGAAAGGCGGGGCATAGAGGAAAAACAATAATGTACAGTATGTGGAAAATAATGTGTTTTTTGAACCTTAAACCGCATAAACACATTTCATTACACCAAATACACAAAATAATGTTCTTTTTAGCAGCATCATATGACCCCTTTAAGCATATTAGCAGCAGCATTTAGCATCTGTGTTTATAAAGCTGGAGCAAACGCAGTCTAGAGCATGTAATCGCTCTGAGGACACACAGAGGGTAACATAATAAGCATTCTTGTGCATGCATTTCAACCGGGGTTCACTATATTCAGTGGCGCAATCTCAATATCACGTTAGTTTAAATCTAGGGCTGATGTTTTATTAGCTGTACTGAGTGTGTGGTCGATTTCAGCTGCACGCAGCATCAGAAGCATGCACTTTTATAGCTCCTAATGGCTCTATGCAATTAGACAATATTGTTATATTAATGACAGGTCTCTAATTAATAACTTATGATATTTGCTCAGGTAGGTGCGGGGGTCTTATCTATCAGATTGGCTCACATAGCCAAAGGCCACTATTGTTAAGCCGGTCGGCGTGGTAGCCCGGGCTCACATAGCCAAAGGCCATTATTGTTAAGCAGGTCGGCGTGGTAGCCCGGGCTCACATAGCCAAAGGCCACTATTGTTAAGCCAGTCGGCGTGGTAGCCCGGGCTCACATAGCCAAAGGCCACTAATGTTAAGCCGGTCGGCGTGGTAGCCCGGGCTCACATAGCCAAAGGCCACTAATGTTAAGCCGGTCGGCGTGGTAGCCCGGGCTCACATAGCCAAAGGCCACTATTGTTAAGTCGGTCGGCGTGGTAGCCCGGGCTCACATAGCCATAGGCCACTATTGTTAAGCCGGTCGGCGTGGTAGCCCAGGCTCACATAGATAGTAATATATGCGGTTCACATGACTCTTCGGAGCAGCAGCAGTACATATGCCTTGGTGATATCTGCTTTGTGGCGGTTGTCTTGTCTATCCTGACTGTTAATCTTCATGTGTGTGGACACATGTATATGCACTGATGCAGCAGTTATACCCTTATACTCAGCGTCATCATGATTATATTGGCTCGTATTGTTCATTTCTGTGTCTCCTGCTTTGTGGGGGACTATTCATATATGTAATATGTGCAATAGATCTGCTACGCTGCTGCTGCTGCAGAGCAAGTACCAAGACTTGCAGTATTTCTTACACCAAATACACAACATGTTGTGGATGTATTGGCAGTAGCAAGTCTCGGTACTTGCTCTGCAGCAGCAGCAGTGTAGCAGATCTATTCCGCCAAGACCAAATACATTAACATTGTCATGTACATTACCATCTCCGAAAGCTGTCATGACAGAAATGTATTTCCTTTCAACATTCTCATATTCATTTAGTTTAACTTGATGTACTAAAATAACCAAAGCTGAAATAAAAATTAATAAAAACTATACAGACACATTAACAAAATTACAAAAAACTAAACAAAATTAACTAACTAAAATTAAAATGAAAACAGAAAATATACAAAAAGATATAAATAAAAAATAAATATAAAATAAAAAATAAAACCCAAAATAAAGTGAAAAGAAGAAACATATTATAGTTCAATCAAATTAAAACTTAAACCATTAAAAAAACATACACATTTATGCTACTTGAATAGTGAATAGTGAAAGTGCAGTCAGATGCAGTACCTGCAGCAGGGCGAGGTACTGTCCGCTGGCGCCGGGGTCGAACTGACCGTGACACTCCAGCAGATCTGTGCAGACGCGAGGAAGAAGATGAGGAAGGTCATGCTGAAGACTCAGACTCACAGCCTGAGAGAGAGTTTCACAGGCCTGAGCCAACAGCCGCTGCGCTGCCCTCCGCTCGCTCTGAAAACACACACACACACACACAGACACACACACACACACACACACACACACACACACACACGCACTCACACACTCACACACACACACACTCACAC